GGCCCTGGGAAAGCGAAAGCAGCGCAGGCGGGCAGGGAATGGAAAGTTTGGAGTTTTGTGGCAGAGCCAAACCCTCGGCTTTTCCTGTCTGCTGGGAATTCCCTGCTCCTCTGTGAGTTTGGACATTCCTGTCAGATTTGTGGACAACAGAAACTGAATCAAACTTGGGAGGAAACTTTATAAAAGCTGTAAAAACTCCTTCCTTTGCCGAGGAAATGATTTTTCTTTGCCTGTGGATGAGGAGCATACTGCAGCACATTTTCATTTCTTTGCTTCCTGAGGGGTTTTGGGGATTTTGGCTCTGTTGACCCCACTCAGGGAAATGGATTTTGGTTTGTAATCTGATATTTCTGCCTGCAGGTGACCGAGCCCCAGAGGGCAGAAGGCAAAGGTTCCACGCTGGAGCAGCCTCCGAGTGAGTTTTATTTTGCTTTTTTTTCCTTTTAATCAAGTCTGAGCCACTTCTTCCTCTGCTGTGCCGTAATTAATGACCAGAAGTTAATTTCCTGTCATTTCCACAACAATGAGCAATCAGCTTTTACTTCTTCCTTTGACACTTCTCTGTTTCTGTCTCAATTCCTCAGTGCTTTTGCAATTTCAATCTCCTTGACTGAATCCAGAACTGAAACTGGAATTAAAGAGTAAAATCTGAAAATGCTTTCCCTCCTCCTGACAAATTAAACAGGAATTCTTTATTTCAATATTTACAATTCATTTGTGGTTAACAAATGCTCCATCAAAAAATAATTCTGCAGGTGTAGAGGAAAGAGGCCATGAAATATTTGTCAGGGTGGATTTTTAGCTGCAGACTTGCAGAGTTGTGTGGTTTCTTGCTCATGTTTGGGGTTTTTTTAAACAAATAAATCAATTTAAAGAGAGAAAAACCCAAAGCTGCCCCAGTCTGAGAGTTCCTTTTCTGCACTGAAAGTGAAGCTCAGGCAGTTCTGCACAGGGAAACCCTTCCCTCATTTTTCCTGAGGGTTTTTTTACCACCTGCTCTCACTTCTCTTTGGTGCCCCATTCCTGGAATATTTAAATCATTTCAAAGCACACAGCACTTGAAAATCGGATTTTAGGAAAGCACTGAAGGTGTGTTAGGAAATATTCGTTTGGAATGAGCAGGAGGAGGATCCTGATCTTGGGAGCTTTGTGAGAACCTTGAAGGATGAAAGGATTTCTTGGCAGGTGGAAAATGTGGGGAAGGTTGCACAGGAAATCCCAAGATGTTTTTGTTGGAAAGATGTCAGGGGGTAAT